ACACCACCCCAGAAGTGCACCGACTCTTGAAGACCTCCCCCTAGAAGCGCACCGACTTTTGAGAACACCACCCCAGAAGTGCACCGACTGTTGAGGACCTGCCCCCAGAAGTGCCCCGACTTCCGAGAACATCCCTCTGAAAGTGTGCCGAGTTTGGATAACCGTCCATCCTGAAGCGCACCGAAAACTGAAACCAAGAACCTGAAGCGCACTGAGTGAAATCTCCAATACAATACAATCCTTATGCACTGCTAGATTGACTAGATTGATCAAAAGCAGCCAGGGCCGACAGAGCTACTGGTACCAGGTTTTTTTCCGACACTCATCACATCTTGGCTTGAGGGGGTTGTGTTTCCAACCTTCAAGCTAGATCCACTTTGTTGCTTCAGCTCTAGACCACAAGCCTTACACATCCAATGATAGATAGTTCCACTTCGTGGTTAATTTCGTGAAAACACTGCTCTCAGAGGGACCGCTGGTGCTAATGCGTTCAGCACACAGTCATGGAACACGTACTGTGGGCCCCCCCATACCCTCAGGCTGCATCACTTGTCGATGGAACGGAAGGTCCATCAACTCAGCATGATTCCAGAAATCATTGTTTGCCAAAGCTTGCAAGTAGTCGATGGACCTTTGGTAGCGGTGACCACAGTAAAACTGTACAGCTTCAGCAAACCTGCGGATTCCAGAAGCCCACTCTGGTTTGTGGTTGTTGGGCCACCTGATTGTCAGACATGTCTTGTTGGGATGGCTCCCTACCATACCCCACTTTTGTGTGGAAAACTCTTGTTCTAAGGCTTTGAAACATGGTGTGACACACAAAGGGAGTGACAAACTGTTAGACAAGGTTCTTGTCCGTCGGCGCCACACAAAGACCACCAGCTCTACTGTGAGAGAGAACTAGCAATGGGGGCTGAGCCAACTCAGAGTCCGAGATGTACTTTTTGATCAAGCACACGACGTCATGACAAGACTCATGTCCACGATAGCTTCCGGAGTTGAGTCTCGCGGCCAAGGTGGCTGGCAGATCTGCAGGGCTGGGTGTCTGGGAGTCCCAGTGGTTTGGAGTGTGCAGGGCCAAGATCAACACAGCTTGGTGTTAACATAAAACTTTCCAACGCAATGAACCTCGTCGTTGCATCGCCAAGAACAAATGATTCCCTGTATCATCTTTCAAGAGGGTTGCGTTCAGCTTCATTACTGATACTTGTGTTTGCTTCCCCACCCAATCCTTTACCGTGGGCTTGCGCAGCTCTGATTGGATAGCAGATATTGCATCGTCAGCATCTAGGACACCGCTTTCATTTCCGATCCTTCTGGAGATGATCCCCCACAATTGGTCTCAGTTGGGATGGCAATGGAGCAAAATATAATTGGACCCATCTAAAAGGTTCCCAACAAAATAAATAATAGAAAACAATTCTTGACACCCAGACTCCCACCCGACAGTGGGTGTGACTCTTGCGGAGGAAAGCCGTTGCAACGGTCCTAAGTTGGGCGACCAATAGACGCAAATATGTCATCATGTACTGGTTCTTACACTCTCTCACAGTGTTGTCAGCCTTGGCTTTTGGCAGGGCCATATTTTGTGGGTTTGCTTTTTGTTCATAAAGATGATCCCAAATCAGAAAGCTTTCCAGGGTAAGCCAGTTGAGAAGCATTGATGATCAATGCTGACGGAGGTCTCCGGTTCTGTTCACGAGCAATGGCCGTGACCTGTTGCCCCAACCAAACATGTAAGCACAGAACACATTGGATGTAACATCCACCAAAACCAAACACATATTTTTAGTTGAACTTTGGGTCCAGAATCATCTTCATTTGTTCTTGCGATCATCTCTATAAGTGCGGAGCTGTCGTGTCGCGCCGGTTCGTCTAGGCACCAAATGTTCAGCTTCCATCCGTAGGCCCAGCAGCCGTGGATTTTCATCCGTGGCCTTTGGTGCTTGGCCCTCAGGGCAAACGATGGATGGCAATGGCTGGATTAACCCACTTTGTGTGTTCAAAACATCAACCTATTCCTTCTGTTGTCTTTTGAAAATGGTGAGGCAAGGGTCAATCCAGCATTGGCGCGCATCTCTGGGTCTCTGGGAAGTGCAAATTTGCATTGATCAAGACCATCTGTGGAAATCATCAGCACCCCAGAAGAAGGGTCAGAGCTCTCTGCTTGTAGCGACCAAATCACTGTTCGATCACAGTACTGGTCACGCAGGTGTCTTCTGTACCCCTGCACACTCCCCAACTTCTGTTCAAAGGTCAGAGTCTTGTTCCCCAATTGGCCTTTAAAGGATAGGCATACCTCACACTCTGTGAATAATGACTTGCTTCTGAAGCGAAGAATATCCCTCCAGCGGGTTTTTGTAGACATGATTGAAGGTGGTGTACCTTGCAGTCTACAGCATCACACCCACTTGAAGTAAACAACATCAATCCAGAAGAAAGAACCCAAATCAAAAAGTTCACCAGGTGTCCAGGTACGAAATATAGGGACTGCCAAGCATGTCTTGAGTTGCTTTGTATTCTTCATACAGCTCTGCCACATTTCCTGGAGGTAGAAACTGCGTACTGCAATTTGGTCGGGCAGAAAGACACTTTTCGAGGCCTGGCTCGAAAGCCATTCCCTGACCTCTTCCACA